ACCTGAATAAGTCTAGCAACATAACGTATGAAAAAGCTGAGGTACAGAATAAACACAATATGGTACCATTTATATAAAGCTTAAGAACCTGCCAGAAAGGGAGGGAGTAGATTTGGATCCTGTGTTTTATTTTTAAGAATGGCAAACCCAGGCGAAGGGCTTGACAACAAGCTTGTATTTGATTCCTACTAATTTCTGAACCATAAATAAATAAATAGATTTATCCTTGAGCTCGCAATATTTACTAATACAGAGAATCATTAGAAAGAAAGTGGTTTAAGGACCTCAACCCTGTCATGCCAACTACTGACATTGGCACATCAATGAATACTGGCTAATGCTGGTAAATGAATATACTTTTCATACAGTGTGTGTGGATCTTCTAAGCAACCCAGGAGAGGTTTAGATCATTTTGAATTTGAGGTTATTTGCACTTTTCAACCTTATAGTATCACGTAGTAGAACAGGAAAAACTAAAGTAGATTTTCACAGTCACCCTGTTTAACTAATGGATTATTCACCATTCTCTAAACCGCACTGACTAATCAACACAGTGTCCTAAATACTCATTGTTTATAGGCCACTCTCTTCCCCTTCTGAGTTGTATGTTTATAAAGAGCCAATTGTGTTTTGTCCCAATTAATTACATAGTTTAGTTTAATATTACATAAATCAATGAAATATAAGTGGTATACTTTGAAAAACTTCAATAAAGGTTTGTAAAATGAAACCTACAGTATAATCCTATATATTCTTTATGAATATATACAGGATAAAGTATAGATGGGAATGAAAAATACCTAACTTAGTATCACTGCTACCTTTAGGATAGGAGGGAAATGGGATCAAGAGAGGTACACAGTGGACTTCAACCAAATCCATGTTGTATATCCCTTGTTTAAAAAAAATTGCACAAAGCAAATATGTTTAACATTTAGTTAAGACTTGATAAGTATAGGTTTTGGATACACATTTTTCCTATTTCTGTCTTCCTTTTGTTTGCCTCTCAAGACTAGGCACTTTCAAAGTTCATCAGAAAATACTTGGAAATTAATTCTTAAAGTGACTAAATATCTGGACTTGGTCAGGCCAGTGTAGAACCATAAAGGGACTGGCTGACACTGTCCCTGAGCTGCATAATGAGGCACACTTATATTCCAGTGCCAGAACTGGGTAGGAAATACCCAGAAATTTACACCGTGAATCTTTGTATTCTGCATTATTCCTTCATATTTATGGCATCAGTTCGGCCAGCTAGCTTTTTCTCCTGAAATCTGGTTTGCCTCTGAGCTCCCTAATTGGAGCCTTGGGCCTGGAGAGCAAGCATGTCTGGCCTTAGACAGGCCTCTCATACTGATGTCTTAACCTTTCCCTTGACCAGCTCATCTCTGAGATTATTTGTGTCCACTTATTTGGATTTGAATCTGGCCTGCTGGTTGGTGAGCCCATGAGTTCATTCTCCATATCCTGTTCCATGCTGGGTTTCCTTTGCATGCTCTGTGGAAAATGAATGGCATTTCTTAATCCAGTACCTTCAAGGCTATTTTTTCTAGATAAGGAGGGAAGTCAACACATTCTTAAGCATCTCAGAATTGCATGGCAAAATATCACTTGTTTCTTTAGGACAGGATCATAAGAATCATTATGAAATGTAAATATTGTTGCCAAAATTGAAGGGAAGAGAGATGTCATTCGACAACAGCATTCCCTGCCACCACCTCTCTCACACTCTTAGTGTGGATTGAGTCTCATCTCTGCAGAATAAAAGGTCATGAAACTAGAATGTGGGCCATTTTGAGAAACAATCGTGGGAAAGTTTTTTCTTCAAATAAGTGATCAAACTCAGGAGATAGTTTTATCCATAGGAGCTTATTTTCTTTGTTTACTGAAACTACTACTACTATCACAGGATATACTGAATCCGAAACCCTAAACAGTCTCCTTGCACCTTTCTCTAGATACTATAGTTTTGTTTTGTGGAATATCTTAATTGCTGACCTGTCATGAGTTTCCGTGTCTGAACATTGCTGACCGGTCATGAGTTAACTCGAGTCTGCACTTACATTAACTTAAGTAATTTTAAATACCTTGCTGACAAGTCACAAGTATTCAAGTGCAGAAAAGTAGCTCCTGGGCAAGATCTGGCTTGAAATAGCCGGTCAGCAAGGTGTTAATTTTTGTATCTTACAGAAATGATATAGAATAATGGAAAGCCTTATTGCTATTCCATTCTTTCTATCCATCTTGCTGTGTGACCTTGGGTGAATCCATTTTCTTTATAGGGTCTCTCAAATGTACAGTGAGGACATGCACTGTTCACCCAGCTAGACTGCAAAGCTCCATTTTTTGCAATTCGCTTCTGAAGCCCTGATGGAATCTGGGCAGAATAAGGTGCTACTGCCCTCTGCTGGTCCTAAGAACACACCTGACCATCAGTGCTGTGGCCCAGCCTGCCCTCACAGCCAGGGACACAGTGCCCCATGCTTGCGGTTGAAAAGATATAGCAGGAAACCACAAAGAAAACAGGCAAATATCATGTCTGGAAAAATAGCAATATTTGAAGTATTTGAGAATTAATGATTTTTTTATGCATATATAAGATGCCATAGTCATTTGTGACTGTCTTGCCACCAAAAAGTATTTATCCTTTAACCACTTCACCCTGCTGTAATTCTCACCTAGTAAACAAGCTGTGGCTTCTGACCCTTTGGGCCATTGTCACTCTCTTTTACACCATTTTTCTGCCTAGGAGCGTATACAGTTCACTTTTGTTCAAAAGATTTAGGCAAGTTTTTACAATTCACTTCTAGTTTGTAAATAAACAGGAAGATGATAACTGGTGTGTGCCAGTGAAAGTGAGCATGCAGCATCAGGAAGAAACACTAAAGAGAAAGGCAGGGCTTTGGTGTACTCAGATTCCTGTAGAGATGCCAAGTTGCAATAAAATTTATAATTAATAACTTCTGTGCGTGGGGATGATTCTAAAAGCACTTTATGTGAGAACCTGATACGGATTTGTTAAGAGCTGTTTTTCTGAGCTTATATACACTGACATAATTTTAAAACTCTAATATTTTAAGAACTGCTGTGTTACATTGCATTTGTAAGAAATGGTGCTGCCTCTCTCTCAAAGACAGTTGAGAATTATGTTTTTATCTTGTTTGAATTTCGTGCCTTTAATCTCTCTTTCCAAAATAGGCTTGTGCACTGCTTCAAGGTCATTGTTGGTCCTTAGAATGCTTAGGGGCAAAAAAAAAAAAGTGCAACCCACATCCCATCTTGAAAGGGACTTACAGATGGGATACAGAAGTATACAGACTCTCATAGGCAGATTCATAGCCACACCACTGTTAGCTATGCCACTTCTAGCATGCATTTCATGGTATGTGTGGTGCCTATTCCAGTTCTAGGTTTAGTCAGCTTGCGACTGAGAAGGAAATTAGCATGTATTGAACATGTAATTTTTACTAGGTATCTTATACATCTGTTATGCATCTCTTAGAAATGAACCAACTTTTGCTACCTGTTCTGTATATTACCTTAATAGTAATCTTCAATACCCAACATTTCAGAAGAAGAAAATTCAACTTATTAAAATGCTTCCAAAGAAAGCTTTTAGTATCAGAAACTTTAGTTCTACTCACAGAAACAAGGTGAACTCGATTCCAAAGAATAAAATTATCAAAAAGTGTAACTGGTGAGAATTCTACCTGCTGTTTCCTGAGAAATGATGGATTAAAATTTTTTGAAGCATCTTTTAACTTTTAAAGGTGAAAGCAAAGGCTGCGGGAAGACAGCTTACGTCAGTAACTGAGGTCCAGCACTGTGAACCATCCGTAGCACTTAAAATGCAGACGCATTTGAGATCTTGCTCCTCAGATGTGTCGTCAGTTTGTCTCAAATAAACTCTTATAAAAATTCAAATAAAATAAAATGTATTATTAATTGAAATCATATCAGAGGTTTCAAGGCAGAATATTACTTTGGGAAACAAAATCCTAAAGTGCAGGAAAAAAACACCAGACAGCAGTGCTAATGGGTATTTAATGTATTTTGTGATTTACTTTCGGTTCCTTTGCAGGATAGCTTGGTGTAGTAAAAGCAGGGGCTTTGGAACCAAGCAGACTCTGGGCTGTATGACTTCGGTCAGTCACTCAAACCTCCCTGAACTTCTGTTTTCTCTTCCTTAAATTGGCAATAATAATGTGCATCTTATAAGATTTTTAGTATTAAATGAGATGCATAAGTATTCATGAAGTTCCTCAAGTGCCCGCAAGAGTTAGTTTTCCTTCCCTCTGTCGTTAATCACAGAGTAAGGGTTACTGTCACTCTGTAGCCCAGCAGGAAGTCCTGGAAAGGAAGCTTTGGTTTGAGATTACCTTCCCATACCCAGACTTGGTTACCAGGAAATGCCCTTGAAGCCAGGACAGTTGCTAGGGAGTATATAAGCCAGGCAGCAGCCTTGGTGGGGCAATCAAGGGGTAGAGGGAACAGTAGGGAAGGTGCAGTTACTCTTGAGTCCCAAGTTCATGATATGCCCTCATTCTCTGTGTAAGGCTATAGGCTCTCTCACATTTCAGTTAGTGCCCCCCCAAAATGCACTCTAAAACCAACTAGAAAAATTTTTTAATTAGCTGAATTTTATTATGTGTTCTAACTGTAATAAAACTACCAACTCTACAGTACCTACTGTGTTCATGGTACAGTGCTAGACACTTTTCATATATTCTCTCATTCATATAATAACTGATTTTTAGCTGTTACTAAAATGTTCATTTTAATAAAGTGACTGAGACCTTAAAGGATTTCTTAGCAGGCCCAAAGTTGCCAGTTAAAAAGTGAGTAAGTTGCTGGTTGCTAAGCTTATACTGCCATAAGATACTGTTTAGAGAAGTCCTTGGAGCACATCTGTGGCTAACTGTGGCCCCTGTAACCTTCTGAACTATCATAACTCTGCCAGCCCCATGGTGATGGATATTGTATATTGTGTGTTTTCATAGAAACTGGCCCCCGGAGTCAACCAGTTTGCTTACACCTGTGTGCAGGACCACCCCATTTGGACAAATCAACAATTTTGGGAGACAACCTTTTACAATGCAGTGCAGGAACAAGTTCGCTCCCTGTATCTCTCCGCCAAGGAAGACAATCATCTGAAGCAAAAGGTAAGAGAAAAGAAGAAAGGTATACATGTGTGGTTCTGGGGTCTTGCCTTCAAGAAATGTTTATTTAGATATTACCAGAGCAAGAGGAAATCTGGCCACTGTCCTACTGGTGTATTTGCAGTTCACTTTAGTGGGTACTGTAGGGAGCGTCTTTCTTCTTTTGGTTTCTGACATCATATTTTTTTCCATAATAACTTCTCAGTACAGTTTTTTAGCACTAGAATTATTTTATTACATTTTAATAAGTAAGAATTCCCTGGGAACAATGATAGGAAATTGAACAGAAAGAACAAACCTAAAATACCTAGGCAAATATCTGTGCCATTAATTTCTTGAAGAAATGTCAAAATAAAGTTAATTGACTTTAAAATAAATGTAAAATTCCTTAGTCCTGCTCAAAAGTATGCCAACAATGAATCTAGGTCTTTTTTTTTTTTTTTTTTTAATTTTTTT